TTGATTTATGCCAACAGATGATCAAGAGAGGCCCTGGCCACTAAGTCCATACAGAGCTGAGGTTAGGATTACCTAAAGGGCTGTAATAGAAAAATATGTACCAACTTCAACAGGAACAAGTGTTAGCATTACTGTCAGCCCAGACTTCCCCTTTTCTATGAAGCTGCCCTAAAGGGCTGTAATAGAAAAATATGTACCAACTTCAACAGGAACAAGTGTTAGCATTACTGTCGGCCCAGACTTCCCCTTTTCTATGAAGCTGTCAGTCACATTCCCACTCAAGTTACGCACCTGTTCTTGGGTCACCCAACAGACATTTATCAAGTACCTGATGAGTGCTAGGCACCATGCTAGGCCTCTGGTGGCACAATTCCCAAGCAGGATCCTCATCCTCTAGAGACTGGTTTCATTATTGGCTTGTACTTTTGTATTGCAAATTAGTCTACACTGCAGGCTTTAAAGAAATAAGTGAATTGTCTCCTTGTGGGTGTTATCATAATCTGTTTAGTAGATTATCTTCGGTAACCTGTAAATCTTTTTCCTAGATTAGTGACAGCAAGACCCAAGTAAGAAGGAATCAAAGCTGATCATGGAGCACGATGCTCACAGTCGTGGGAATTATGCGTCTCTGCGCCTTGTTAAAACAAATTTTAGGACTATCCATTGATTTATGGGAGCCATGACATCCTCTCATTTCATGAGATAGGTGATGAAGAGTGGAAATTTTTTTTTTCTCTCAAATAGAAACTGTTTCTTTTGGATGCTGAATATATAGAAAAGCCGATACAGCAAAGATTGTTTGTCATACTTTTATTTCTTCCTAGCTCTCTTGAATAGTTCTCCACACACTCTCGTTATGAAAGCATCTTGACCTAGACTTATCAGTGCTCCTCTTAGATGCATTCAGAATGTCTACACAATACATCTGAATCTGTTCAGTTTGAATAGCTTAGTATATCATTGTCATTTTTCCAAAGCGTTCTTCCCCAAGTACCTGGAAGGTACATTCAATTTAAAGGAAGAGTAGGTGCAGTGATTTGAAAAAAATAGTAGGTGCAGTGATTTGGATTAACCTGGCTTGGAGGTTCTGAGGGAATTGCCACTGTGTTTAACTGAGAGAGTAGATGGCACGTAGGAGTCTTGGTTAACAGTGACCAAAACCTAGCTAAAACACACTCAAAAGAAAAAGGAAAAAAAAAACAACAGTGTGCAAATTTGTGTAGGGGGAGGAATTTTATCGGCTCAATCCAAGGAAGGGTTGATTGGCAAACTATTGGGGGGTAAGAGTTGCGAGTGGACCTAAGAACATGTGGAATTAGGGGACTGAAGCCCACCAGGCTCTCTCTCATCTCCTGCAGCTCTCCTCTTCTGCAGGTTGGTTTCAATATCTTCATTTCAGGCCAGCCTACAATCCCCAAATCTTATATTTTATAGGTTTCACCCCTGAGAGATTACCCTTTATTAAAAATTCCTAAGGAAGAATTCTAACTGGTCTGGTCTACTCAACTGAGATCATGGGAAGTCTCAGGAAAAGCTTATTGAAGTGGTGAACTATGCACTCCCAGAAAAAAGAGCACTAACTGGCTAACAGAAAAATTATCTACTACAGTGATCTCTGGCCAGCATGCCCCAAAAGGCGTTTGTTAAATTGGCCTAGATGATCTCAAACTCATATTCTATAGCCCTAGGATTTGAATCATTATGGCTTTTTTTTTTTATTGAAATGTATTAATTATACATATCTGTGGGGTACAGAGTTATATTTCAGTACATAAATACAATGTGTGGTGATCAAATCAGGGTAATTAGCACATACATCATTGCAAACTTAATCATTTCTTTGTGATGTGGACATCTGATCTCCTCTCCTAGTCATTTGATAACATGCAGTAAATTATTGCTCATTATAAATGTCTAGCTCTATGGCACACTTGAATCATTATGTTGAAGCATTTATTATTTATTTAAATTGACAAATAAAAATTGTGTATATTTATTGTGTACAAAATGATGTTCTGGTATATGAATACACTGTGGAATGGCTAAATTGAGCTAATTAACATATGCATTACCTGACATACTTATCAATTTTGTGGTGAGAACACTTAAAATCTATTCTCTTGGCAATTCTCAAGTATACAACATATTGATATTAGCTATAGTCACCATGTTGTACAACAATTCCTGTGAACTTACTCTTTCTAACTAAATTTTGTATCTTTTGACCAACATCTCCCTGCAGCCCCTGGTAACTATTATTCTACTCTCTGCTTCTATGAGTTTGACTTTTTTATTCCACATATAAGTGAGGTCATGCAGTATTTGTCTTTCTATGCCTGGCTTATTTCACTTAACATAATGTCCTCCAGGTTCATCTATGTTGTTGCAAATGATGGGATTTCCTTCTTTTTCAAGGATGAAATAGTATTCCACTGTGTATATGTAACCACTTTACCCGGTCATCTTTATCCATTCATCCCTTGATGGACACTTAGGTTGATCCCATATCATGGCTGTTGTGAGTAGTGCTGCAATGAACATGGGAGTGCAGATATCTCTTTGACACACTGATTTCATGTCTTTTGCATATATATATATCCAGAAGTGGGATTTGTTGATGTATTCCTTGTTAGTGTCAGCACCCAGTGACTTTGGGGGTCTTGCCATCCAGCCATATCTTAAAATCCCAGTAAGAGGGGCTAGCAGGATGACTCTGCTCCTGTTGCTTGTCTTCAAAGCCACACAGTAATCCCAACTTTCCAAATCCTATTTATTCATGGTATGTAGAGTGACTTGTAGAGAAGCCTGCCAGTTGCCTCCATTTCTGGATGTGTGGACAGAACATCATTATCCTGAGGATGTGCGTGCACGGTGGTAGCAGGACGGGGGACAGGGAAGGAAGTAGGGAGGGAGTCAGTTATTTGGGCATTTTTTCCTTCCATTGCGAGTAGCTAGCTGGACTGTGCTTCCAAGGTAGGGCTGAACTGCAGGGTTGGAACACTGGGATGAAAGACACAGTCCCAGGCCTTGAATTGCTTACCCCCTAGGGAAGTCGGGGGTGATTGTGAAGAGTGACGAAAATAAGCACAACATTTGCTGAATGGCTGCCAGTCAGTATGGACGTCTGCTTGATTTTGTTTTGTGGTGGGTAGAATCAGGGTTGTCCTTGTGTGAACTCGGATTTGGGACTAGAGCTTTTCTGGCCTCCAGGAGCTCCACTTTTTGGGGAGGCTAATGGCAGAGGGGACAATGCAGCCATGTCACTTGAGGAGCCCTGTGCTCATGCAGTGGCATCATCAGGTAGGCCAGGTTTGTCATCAGAGCCTTTGGGGCTGCAGGATGTTTGCCTGGTGTCTGACTCCGTTTAGAACTGCCTTCCTTTTCTTCTCTCAAGAAGCCCTTTACATTGCTCTTAATTGAATTCCTTAGCACCACCAGCCCTCACTCTACCTCACAATGTTATCTAAGCAGCTTTTTTTTTTTTTTTTGGCTGGCCCATAGAGGATCCGAACCCATGAGCTGGGCATTAACAGCACAAAATGTTTTCTAACCATCACCACTATCTATCTTCAGAGCTTTTCATCATTGCAAACAAAAAATCTGTACTCAGTAAACAATAACTCCCCGTTTTCTACTTCCCTCAGCACCTGGTAACTTCTATTCTATTTTCTTTATGAATTTGCCTATTCTAGGTACCACATATAAGTGGAATCATACACTATTTGTCCTTTTGTAACTGGCTTATTTCACTTAGTATAATATTTTTGAGGTTCATCCACGTTGTAGCATGTACCAGATTCCATTCGTTTTTATGGCTCAGTAGTATTCCATTATATGTATATACTACATTTTGTTTATCCATTCATCTGTCGATGGACACTAGGGTTGCTTCCACCTTTTGTCTTTTATGTATAGTGCTGCTATGACCATTGGTGTACTATTAAAAAAATATATTAACTCACTTAATTCTTACAAAAACTCCATGAGTTTAAGCACATTTTTTTCTCCAATTTACAGATGAGAAAGGTCATGGAGCTGGTAATGGCAAGGCCAGAATTCCAACAGGGAGGGTCTGACAATGGTGCACTCCCTGAATTACACACTGTGCTGGCTTTAATAAAAATAGTTACATTTCCCCTTGAACTTACTATGTCCTGGATATATTATATGCACTATTTCTAAATTCTTAAGACATCCTTTTGAGGTAGGCTTTATTATCCTTATATTACCGGTGAAGACATCAATGCTCAGAGAGGTTCGGTGGTGGATTCAGGAATGCTTCTCAAGTGCGCTTGCTTCTCTGTGCCCTCCAGAGCCAGAATGCAGCAGGCAGATGACTCCTTGGGACCTGGAATGGCCCAACCTTTTCTGGAAAAATCATAAGGCAAAGAGATATCTCAGGTGCAGAACCCATGGGCACTGTGGGAGAATCTGGGACTCCACAGCTGCAGAGAACTTCTAACCTATGTCTCAGATGAGACCAGGAATTTTTTTTTTTTCCTGATACTTAAAAAAGTTGTCTTTTAGAAAAACTCTTGCTTGTGTAATGCTTGGGCCAACAGAGTTGGAATAAAATGAATGATAACTTCCATTGCTGGCTAAATTTGGAAAACATACAAAAAAAGAAGTTATACAAATTCTGGCCAAAAAACAAAACAAAACAAAACAAACCCCACATTTGTCTGACCTGTGAGGACTGATTCTCAACAATCCTGAATTAGCTGGGTATTTAGATAACATTTTGCTTCTGTCTAATCATGTGGACAAAACCATATTCCATTTGCATGGCTGCCTGTATCCTTGAACACCCTGGCTCAAAGCTCTACTTCTGCTTCTCCTAACCCTTTTCTCCCCTTCTTTTGCAGCTGCCACACAAACGTACTTCAGATTGTTATTTTACAAAAGGTAATAAATGAACTGCCTTCCCCGTTAGGGAGTGGGACCCAGTGTGCATAACCTTCATGGCTGTCTTCCCCAATTTGGTTTTGCAGCCTGAGAAAATGGAGTATACCATACCTATCCAAAGACAGCGGACTGTGTCAACAACTGGAGAAGCTCTGTATGAAATTCTTGGTCTGCAAAAGGGAGCATCAAATGAAGAAATTAAGAAAAACTACATCTATTTTTATCTACTGATGGGAAATTCTGAGGCCTTGGATTGGAAGCTTCGTCATGTGGTAAACTGTGGGATCTGAAATGCCTTTAAGAAGCATGTACTGAGGAGTAAATGACAGTGGTACAAACTACTATTTGGATCCAAATAGTTCTATGAAAATGATACGGTCTGGTTAAAGTCAATATCAGTCTTATAGTTCATATTTCACTTAAGTTGCTTGGTAGAGACAAGTCTTTGCTGTTTATTGTACCCTAGAGCTATTCAGCAGGAGTTTGCCTTCAGCTGTCCAGCCCCTGTTGGTGGAAGGTCACTAAACATGACTCGAGGCTTCAGGCTGAAATATTGTGCTAGGGTTGGAGGTGGGAATGAAAATAATTGCATTATAAGTTTAGTAATGACAAAAATGCTCCCCAAAACAAGCATGGAAAAAAGTGGTATCCAACTACCTTTTAATTTTTAAAATTGAGTTTACTTTACAAATGTGACATTTAATTGCCTTCATTAGTTTTGTAAGCTAAAATTTCAGGTCATAGTCTAATTAAGGCATTAATTATGCTGAGTTGTTTGCAAGTTTAATAATTGCAATACAAAGTTTTTTCATGTAATTAGTGTCTTGCTATTAATTTTGTTTTAATGTCATACAAATATTATTTTTTCAACTGATTAGGGTACTAGTATGCTGCCAAAAGCATCTACTTCTGTCTAAATTACACATTTGTATTCTGCAAGTTATTCAAAATGTATGAGCAAGCTGAAAACCTTCTGAGAATATTATTCTTATATTCAGGGGATGTGGATCAAAACAGCCACAATAGAGTGAAATTAAAAGTCAGTGAAATTTAATAAAATTACCAACTGTTGAATCCATACGCTACTTGACCTCTGTTGTAATCTTTGGTTGTGCTCTTGAAAACAAGGCTGAATTAGAAGGCTTCTTTCTCCTTTTACATCTTGTTTTTATTTTTTAATAGGTAATATATTCACTTGATTAAAATGAAAACATACAAACAGGTACACACAAAAAAGTCTTCCTTTTACCTGTTATCCCTCAGGTCACTTCCCCAGGGTAAACAATATCAGTTCCTTTTGTGTCCTTCTAAAGAGATCTTATGCCTGTAGGAGCATATGCAGGGAACTTCTGGTCTGGGCAAGATGGCGTAGACTTGTCTCTTCCTGCTCCTTTCTGCTAAGTACGACTAAAATCTTTGAAAATAACACAAGAAATGGCCAAGAGAAAACTCTGAATGGAGGAAGGAGGAAGGTGAACTGATTAGGGACCACAGGACCAAAGGAACAACACAGCAGCAAGGCATCTTAGAACCCCCCACCCAACAGATGGTAATTGAGGCCCAGCCTTTTCCCGCAGCCAGTGTAGCAACAGGAAGCAACCAGGTGTCCTTATTCTTCCTCCAAACTGAGCAGGAGCCCGGCCAACAACACTAGACAAGCCCGTGAGAAACGGCAAGAGGTTCCAACTGCCAGTCCCCTAACAATAACCGCCCAGAGAGAGTGCTCTCCTTCCCCAGTCTGATACTCTCCTCCCCACAGAGACCCCACTTGACAGAGGATATTAGTAAGGGGGATCCCACTACAACAAGCCCCCAGCCCAGGAAGTGCTCTATGTCCCTACAGGCTAGAGATTCCCTTTCCCTACCTAAAGACCAGGAAACCAAGCCTGGAGAAACTCCTTTCAGCTCCTCAACTACCTCCAACAAGGACCAGTGAGCCTCAGAGGCAGGAGGCAAACTAAGCAAACCAAAATAGCACCATAAAGGCTCTGAACCACCCACAGAAGTAGGCTAGGACCTGCGCTCTAAACCTCAACAGGGTGACTGCCTGATAAAATAAGAAATATAAATAAGACCCAGAATCTCCTAACATAACAGCCAAAATATCTAGATATAATCAAAATCGCCCATCATACAGAAAACCAAGAAAATAAAAACTTGAGTGAAAAAAGACAATCATCTGAGTTTCACATTGAAATGATCCAGATATTGGAGTTATCTGGCAAGTATTTTAAAGTAACCATCATAAAAAAGATTCAACAAACAATTATAAATCTCTTCAAACAAATGAAAAAATAGAAAATCTCAGGAAAGAAATAGAAATTATAAAAAGGAACCAAATGGAAATTATGAACTGAAAAATAACAGAAATAATAAAACTGGATGAGCTTAATCTTAGAGTGGAGATGACAGAAGATAGAATCAGTGAAGCTGAGATCAGATCAATAGAATTTACCCAATCTGAACTGCAGAGAGAAAAACTATATACAGTCTTAGGAACTCGTGGAACAATAACAAAAGATTCAACATTTGTAGCACTGGAGTTGCAGAAGGAGAGGAGAAAAGGAGTAGGACTGAAAGAGTACTTGAAGAAGTAGCGGCTGAAAATTTCCCAAATTTGGCAAAAGATACCTACAGATCAAGAAGCTGAGTAAACCCTAATGGGATAAACCTAAAGCAACCTATTCTAAGACACATCATAATAGACTTCTGAAAACTAAAGACAAAGAAAAAAATCTTGAAAGCAGCCAGAGAGAAACAACACGTTTCCTATAGGGGACACCACTTTGGGTATCAGCCTGTTTCTCATCAGAAGCAATAGAAGCCAGAAGGAAGTGACACATATTTCAAGTGCTGAAAGCAAAGAATTGTTGACTGCAAATTCTGAACCCAGTGAAACTATGTTTTAGCAATTAAGGGAAAATAAAGACATTCTCAGATAAACGAGATGTAGAAGAACTTGTCACTAGCAGATCTGCTCTAAAAGACTAGCTAAAGTAAGTTCTTCAAAAGAAAGAAAATGATAAAGGAAGGAATCTTAGATCATCAGGAAGAAAGAAAAAACAACGGAGAAAGCAGAAATATGGGTAAATATAAAAGAATATCCTCATGAGTTTTCTAAATTGATATACATGATGATTGCTACAAAAATATTAACACCACCTGATATTCATGACAATGACATTTCAAAGTGGGACGATAAAGGGATCTTAATGGAAGTAAGATATTCACACTTCAGTCAAATTGGGAAATGCTGATATTAACACGCTGTGATAAGTCATATACACTCACACACACAAAAAACCCAACCATGAAGAAAAGTATACAAAATAATACACTCCAAAACACTACAAATAAATCAAGATGGAATCTAAAAAATGTTCAAATAACCCACAGGAAGACAAGAAAAGGGAAACGGAGGATTGAGAAACAGGCAATGGTAGACTTAGTCTTAACTAAATAATTATATATTTTCAAAAAAGAGAAAAAATAATTATATTAAATATAAGTGGTCTAAGCATATATATGTAATATTTTTTCCTTTCTTATACAAATGGTAGTATACTCTACCTCCTATCCTATACTTTGTCTTCTTCTCTTAATGATACATCTTGAAGATCATTTTAAGGAATGATCAGTTCATAAAAAGTTTCTTCATTCGGTTCACATCACCATGTAGTATTCTGTGACATAGATGTCCCACAATTTAATCAGTTTCCTGTTGATAGATATTTAGGCTGTTTCCCATCAAGACTGTCTTTTTAAACCAACTTTGAGCTTCTCAGAGATGGAAACTCCATGGCCCAGAAAGGAAGATAGAGGCGGAGAGAGCATTGGTTCACTTTCCAGTTTTTACATGTCCCAATCCCAAATTCCTGGAGCAAGGTTCTAATGGACCCACTTGGGTCAGACGCTCATCCAAGTCTGTCTCCAATTAGAGGTCTGGAATCACAACCTCCTACTACTATTTAGCAAGGACATTGGACCCAACTCTGTGGGAAGGTGAAGGGGAAATGTTATCTAAGAGGAAGTACAAAGTTGGGAAGGAAATTATTGGCATCCCTAATTCTTTATTCCTTTAGCGAATCACCATAGATAGCAGCCTCCAAGGCCTATCTCAGTCCCTTCTGTGCCTATTTATAAATCTTTGTCATAGAGTCTCCCTGTGAATAAAGCATCTTTTTCATACATAATCTGAAACTCAACCATACTTCAAAAGTCAGCTGATAAATTGGAGTCTTCAGCTACCTCAAAGGACAGCTGGGAAAGGTGACAGAAGGAAGGGTTTTATTGTGTCAATCCATCAGGTACTGAAGTTCTTGCCTCATTGAGATTTTGTAAAGAGAAATTAGATAATTTTTTCAAGGTATGTGGAATAGCACAATGAAAATACCAGGTACTACTATGAATGAATGAATAACTTTATCATCCTTATAAGTCTAAAATTATCCTGCCATTTAGTGCTATTTTTCAAAAACCATTTATCTAGTATAAGGTGAATTTGTAGTTTACGCCAAACTTGATGTTATCAGAGTGTAAGTCATGGTATGAGTCTCATCCAGGGACTTTATTATGGAGTAAATGTGCTTTAGCATTGCAGAGCATGATCATCCCAAGGAGCTTAAAGTTTAAGGCTCATTTAATCCAATTTTCTCATTGCTATGTCTTGGTACTTAATCCTACCAGTGTTTGCATGAGACGGGCAAATATTTTTCCCCTCGAGCTTAAAGTTTAAGGCTCATTTAATCCAATTTTCTCATTGCTATGTCTTGGTACTTAATCGTACCAGTGTTTGCATGAGACGGGCAAATATTTTTCCCCTCTTCTCCCACTGCCTAAAAGTCTTCACTCCCCTATCATGTTGTCAGAAGGAGACTCATTTGAGTTAATATTTTTAAATTCCAATATACCTAGAATGGCTAAGAGGTTATCCACCTTTCACACATTTGCCTTAACTTTAAACTGGCATGTTTTGCCTTCCCACCTATAGTCTCCCGGAGCCAAGAGGAATTTTGACTTAGGCAGCTGGTGAAGGAGGAGAGGAGGGAAAGGCACCAGTGAATGGTGGGACAATTAGACAATTGAGAAGAAGGGAGGTAGTTGAAATAAGCCTTAATACTCAGGCTCTGGAGGCAGCTGGTGAAGGAGGAGAGGAGGGAAAGGCACCAGTGAATGGTGGGACAATTAGACAACTGAGAAGAAGGGAGGTAGT